CCTCAGCTAACCATTGCCTCTTTAGCCTTTTCGCCCTTACTGGATGATCACTTGGAAACATAGCAAAATACAGAAAGCAAGCTTTGAGAGCATGGCTAGGCAGACTGGTGTAGTCATGGATCAGCACCTGATGCATTCTGTCCAAAGTATCGTCACCACTCTGCAGATGATAAAACCATACCTGGTTGCACACATCTTCACAGTCATGTCCTGTTGGCCAACTCTTTTTTCCCATGAATTGGCCAACGGTAGTCAGAGCGAGTGGTTGACCATCACATTTCTTCAAAATTGCTGCCAGATCAGGCCCCATGTACTCTGAATATTCCACCGGACAAGCTTCCTTCAGGAATAACTGCTTTGAATGTTTCTCGTCAAGTCTTCTCATTTTGTGAATATAGCCGTTGGTAGAGCTGCAAGTATTAGCCACTGACTTGATTTTCGTTGTCACCAATATTCTGCTGCTACCATCTCGAGGAAAGGCAGACTTTATAGTACTCCATTGATCTGACCGCATGTCATCAATTACAATGAAATACCTGGAATATTGTGAAATGAGAATACACAAATCAACAAGAACCTCCAACACCATAGTGATCAACGCATGAAGGAAAGGTAATCATTTATTTTCATTTGGCATCGTTCTCCTTCAGAAATAAATACATGTTTTCTACAGTTAAAAAGAGTAACTGCTCCTTATTGTGGTATATATATTAGCATGTGCAGTATATATGGAGGCCAGAATTCCAAGAGTGGCTTTTGCAGTTCTTTTATTAATCTCCTTAGTTTTATAAGATCTGTAGGCAAAATTACGTACATATTTGAATAATTTTACTAAATCATTTGTGAATACGCAAATACATTTTGTACCACAAAACTATGTGACTAGGATCTCTTTCTCATAACTAAAGTCTCTGCATGCTGTCTACAGTTGGCTTTAGAGAAAGATTTTCATAAAATTATTAAGTAGGCAACTGTCTTCTGTTGTCTAAGGGGTGGTAGAAAATTTCTTACCTCTTGTTATTTAGGAAGTTCCTTAGATCAGTACTAAGCTGGTAGACATTGGAGCTATCCGGTGGTGGTTTATGCAGTTCCTTGAGTATCTCTATTAAGAGCTTGCTTGGATCCCCATGCACTGCAGAAACCCATGCCCTTTCGTCAAATTGCTTGCCGACCATGCTGTTGTACAACTCCCTGGCAAGGATGGTCTTCCCCAATCCACAGAAGCCAACTATTGAGATCACTTTCAACTGCTTGGGTTGACCTTCAAATTCTGCCAACTGCCCCAGAAGCTCCTCAAGGGGTGGCTTGATGCCAACCAAATCAGCCGGAAGGATATGCTGATTCAAGGATGATTCTGCTGGCTGGAATGTGGATGGACGGGACACTGAATACCTCTGTTGCCGTTGGAGTGCTTCCTCCAATCTGCACCTTAGTTGCTGCATCTCTTCGCCTAACTGTGAACGTGATTTTCTCTTCTTCCCAGTTTTGACCATTTTACAGTACCATGGTTGTTGCTGTTCCCAAGATGCATCATACACGATGTGGTCTATACAGTCCTCCATTTCATGAGCTACTTGTCGCAACTCTTCAATGGACAAACGCAGTATGTGATCATCCTGCCCCAAGAGCTGCCCATCAATGGCACTAGTGATCATTTTAAGCTCACTCTTCAGAAAAGCCAGATCTCCTTCAAAGCCCTTGTACAACTTGTATTTCTCCTCCGCCAGCGAGAACAATCTCGACACGAGGTTCTCTAGAAATGCACTCAACAGGCCTGGGTCCTCCATCGATCACAATGATTGTTAGGCGCTGACGGTTCCTAGTGGTGTGGAGATGAAGTGCACCCAGGTTTGTGCATACTGACGATGGGTTGAATAAAACTGACAAGAGAGCACATAAAACTTAAGGAGCATCTTATAGCAGGGGAGATGACCACATCCTTCTTTTCATCTGACAGTAAATAGCATTTGTTAGCACATCTAATATTGTTTGCAGCACTTTTTACACTAAATATATCATATAGATGCAGAATACTAACATTAAATTACTAGTCAATACTACCTTATTTTAAAAAAAAAGTCAGTACTACCTTGAGAGTCCAGCACACAAATGAAGAGGTTATATGTAGTGAACACTTCCAAAGAAATTATAGCAGTGCTGATACATCGGTATGACCACTGATATTCACCCTTTATAACCCCTGAAAATAAAAAGTTGCGACAAGGATAAATCATTAGAAACAAGCTTTGTGGATCAAAAACTAATATACTGAGATAAGCCCAAATTGTGTACAAGGGACACAAGCTTTGTTTAATTCAAGCTTTGTTTTTGCTATATATGCAGAGAGGATGAAACATTAGAAACAAGCTTTGTTTTTGCTGTATATGCAGAGAGGAAAGAGGAAGAAGATGAAATTGTGTTATGTGGAGGGGGATGTAACTGATGAACTGAGATAAGCCCTGGTGGGAGATACTCTTTAAAAACCAATCAATGGTGGGCTGAATCAAGTGGGGGAAAAAATCTTTACCTTATTCGTGACAAAAAATAATTGAGTAAAGTCCCTCGGAAAGATGCAAACCGATCAAAAGGAGTTTGTTGCCAATTGAATAAGGTAAAGAACTGATGACCAAATAGTGAGCTTGGAGATCTCGATCTAGATGAGCAGCACGGCAGAAGACTCCAAAACAGAGTAGTACTACACTACAATACACCTACGATAAGAGCTCTGCCAGAATCAGACTAGGAGAATCTAAACCAGCTTATGAAGTAATTCAGCTACATGATGTTTAGTTAGGCCTCGTCGATTGAAAGCGGATCTATTACGCACCTGATGTTGTGCTGCAGCTGGAGCTCGCTGGGGAAGTGGTGAGGGAGGAGACTTTGACTGGACTTGGGACAGAAAGTACGCATATGTTGTGATGGTCTCTTGGTTTAGTGAGGGAGGGCTAACACCGTTAAAGTTTCAACAAAAGACAACAATACCCCTTTCTTCTTCCTATTTCCTCTCTGCATACACAGCAAAAACAAAGCACAGATTCTGTACACAAGGGACTTCGACTAATGTCCAACTCCAACAACATCAGGGAAGTCATTGGTGTAAAGAGCCTGTCAAATTAAAGCTCGCTGGCATCAACCGGCTCCCTCCCATCCGTGCCGGCGTGTGTGCTGAAATCGAGCACCAAGGCACTACTGGCGCCCGCTGGTGCCTCTACTCTACTCGAGCAGGCAGGTCACCGCCTACCAGACCGTGCTCGCCGATTCCGACGGTAGGTACATTTGGGATGGGAACGGAGGGAGGCTGCACCGGAGGCAACACAGAGAAATGGACTTCTTGTTTATCGGGAAAGTCGCGGCAAATAGGCGACAGGGGAAATTGAGATGGGAGGGGTATTATGGTCATTTAGTATGCCATGTTCTTTTCTTTTATCTCCTTGATGAGTTTATTTTAATTGGGCTACAAAAACAATGCCTAATGGCGGCCTCACGGTAATTCAAAAATATATATACTACCTCTTAATGCAATTTTTGATTTGGTCCCTATCAAAATATCTTAACTTTACTAAATTTATATAATATGATATTAATATTTATATATACATATATATGTAAAAATAACTATATATAGGAAGCTGGAATCACATTTTATTGCGAGCGGAGTGGCTCAGCTGGTTCGGGTGGCAGTATCTTTTTTAGATGCATTTTAAAATTTAATGGTGTTATTTTTAGGATACGTGATGATTTTGTTAATAACAAGTATCTACAGTAACTTCGTTCATCTCAAGATTTGTTGGTCTAGTCAGTCTTTTAGAGGTGTTTGCGCACATGTTTATAGGGAGTGTGGGTTCGTGATTTGAAAAAAAATACATTTTATTAGGATGGACGGAGTAGCCAGGAAGAGCAAGCCCAATAAAAAAAAATCAAATATTTGGCTCTTAGGTCAGTCTTAGTGGGTGTTTCATATCCTAGTTTTTAACACCCTCATATTTTAGAAACAGTGCTGAAAAATTTCATCCCCATAAACTCTCTCTACTCCCGTGAAACTTCTATCATCTCTTTTTCATCAATACAGTGCTATGTCAACATATTTAATGCCCATAAATTTGTCATAAAATTCCATTGAGATTAGCCTTACACATAACAAAGTTGTAAGAGTTAAGCTATACAATAGTGGTCTCTTATTTATTTATAAAAAAATTATTACTACTTTTACTCATGTCTCACTTTTTTTTTCTAATCCTTATCATATTCACTTGATATCTAGACCAACCATTGCATAGGTTTCCGAGTCCCTAGACCAACCATTGCATAGGTTTCCGAGTCCAGCTCGTTGCGAGTCAACCTATATTTTCTCACATTTTCTCTCTTTTTTTCTCTCTTCCACGTCAATATTTATTAATGGTCCTGTTCGGCTGACGTTTTGCCAGCGGCTGCTGCTGCATTTTTAATTGTTTAAACAGTACCTGTGTCACAAGTCCAAGACAGCGGCTGCCAATAATGGCTTGCAACAGGTCCATTATTGTACCTGCTCGAGAGCGACCGTCCCTTTACCAATTTCTTAATTCATTTCCTTTTCCTGTCAGAAAGCACGCTTTTGAACGTAGCTCCGACAATCGATTTTTAAGTTAGCTTTAAGTATTTTTTTATATTTTAATAGAAAAAAAGAAAAACTATCAATTATCCAGATCTAAGCTCTTACATGTCACGTGGGTTATTCACGTTAAAAACTATTTATTAAAGTTAGTATTATCGGAAAAACTGGCTTAGAGCTATAAATATGGGCATTTATTCTTCTGGCTCTAGAGTTGGACCGTCTTTAAAGATAGAACAGAGTAAGGAAAAGTAGCGGAATCAGACACAAGGAAGTCATTAGCACTAGCAGAGCCACAATTACTATATTCCCAGGTTCTCACGTCTGCGGACTGCGGTGTCAATTCCAGACTAGATGGTGTGGAGTAGATAACTACGCTTTCTCTCGATGCTTTTGATTCTTCCCATCAGAGATGGATGTGTTTGCCTCGCATCCTGGGATGCAGCTTGCCGGCAGCAGCGCAGGTGTCCTTGCGCTGCCAGCCGCAGGCTTGCGAAATCAGACGCTTGGGAGCCCGCCCTGCGCCGAGCAAATAGGCCCGGAGGTTCAGATCTTCAGTTCTTCGCTGGGCGCCATGGGATCCCTTCTTGCGAAGCTCCGTTCCCTGCTGGTCTCTGCAGAGGATCAGCTGCCAGAGCCGTTGAAGTCACAGAAGGACAGGCTCGAGCTCCTCAGACAAGATCTCGAAGCAATAAACACCTTCCTCGTGAATCTGTCATGGGTGGAAACTCCCAACATGATGGTGAAGCACTGGATGAACGAGGTGCGTGATCTGTCCTACGATATCGAGGATTACATTGACAAGACGATGCACCCCGGCCACATTTCTAGGGAAGAGCCTCGTTCTGATTCTGAGGTGGAGGAATTAAGCACTCTCGTGAAGCAGGCCAAGGACGCCCACGAACGGCACAACAGGTACGATCTTGGGCGTTGGGCATCGAATCCTAGATTTGTGGTCGATGGTGGGGGTGGGCAAGGCTGGTTCCAAGGCTCGACGGGGACGCCACAGATCTTGTTGGTATCGATGATTCCAAGGCTGAACTTATCAAGAGGCTTAACATTGACGCCGAACAGAGGCTAGTAATATCCATACAAGGACCTCCAGGTGTTGGTAAGACTACACTTGCCAAACAAGTGTACCGTGAAGTGGAAGGACAGTTCGAGTGTCGAGCTTTTGTTCGAGCCTCAAAGATGCCTGATACAAGGAGGCTTCTCGGTAACATCTTCTCCCAAATCCAGGGCCGCCATCAAAGACCCCCTCATGGTCTCCCCGTGCAAGAGCTCCTTGACATCCTAAGAACACATCTCCAACAAAAGAGGTATAAGTGTATGTTAAGCAGTGCTTCCTCCTTTTCCAAAAGCATGCACAGTATGATTGGCTTTCTGTTTTCAGCATTTATATGATGAAATGGTAGAGCTTGATCAATCACTGGATCAACAGGAAAAAATTCTGAAAAGAAAATCTTGATATACTAGCCGATTCACCTACGCACTGAATTTCTGAGTATGTGATTATGAATTCAGTGCACAGGTAAATCTTGATATACTAAGTGGCTCCATCTCCGGCTATAGCTGCTACAATGAGTATGAATAGCAACAATGAGAAAATCTGACAACTCCTGAATTGTAAGGAAAAGGAAAAAACAAATAAAAAATATAGATGTCACTACTGACAATAAACTTATCGTTTCTGCTTCTCCTAACACTGGAGTTTAAACTTGAAACTGTGAAATCGTGATAAAAGTAAATACCAATATTTTGAGCCTACAAACTCAAAGCAGGTGTGCAAGTTCATCAGGTCAAATAAGAAAATTTGGAACTATTAGGGAAACTGGAAAGCCAATGCAAATATAATCCTTATGTTCCATAAGTTTGGATTGTCATGTTTTTGTAATTTTTATATTGCACCTAGCCTGGCACATAATAATTATAAAAATATTTGGCAGGTATTTCATTGTAATAGATGGTTTGTGGGAAACAACATCATGGGATATTGTTATCAGCGCATTTCCAGAGGACACTCATTGTAGCAGAATATTAATAACTACAGATATTGAGGAAGTAGCTCTGGAGTGCTGTGATTATGAACCCGATGCTATTTTTAAGATGGAGCCACTTAGTGGAAATTACTCCACAGAATTGTTCTTCAATAGACTGTTTGGTTTTGAACATGAGCTCTCTAAACAATTGAAGGAAAACTCAGAAGAAATTATAAGAGCATGTGGTGGTCTGCCTTTCGCGACCATTAGCGTAGCTACCATTTTAGCTGGCCAACCAGATAACTTAGAGCTGTGGCAACATGTCAAAGAAGCATTATTTTCCAGATTGGGATATAATAATCTTACTTCGGAAGTCATGCTAAGAGAAATAATAGGTCTGAGCTGCAATAGTCTTCCTCACCATTTGAAGACATGTCTGCTACATCTTAGTATGTATCCTGAGGGTTCTACATTCTTGAAGGCTGACTTGGTGAAACAATGGAGTGCCGAAGGTTTTATAATTGCAGTAGAAGAGAAACAAAGTGATGAAGTTGCAGAGTGTTATTTTGATGAGCTTATATACACTGCACTCCACTGTATTCGAAGTTATTAGGACCATGTCCATAGAAGAGAACTTCAGCACTGTGATAGACTACTCCAATACCATCTCAGAGCTTTCTGTAAAGGTTCGACGACTATCTCTCAGGTTCAGTAGTGCCAAATATGCAACGAAACCAGAAAGCATTACACTATCCCCTGTGCAATCACTTATCTTTTATGGACTTGTTGAGTGCCTCCTTCGATTATGGAGTTTGAGGTACTTCGAGTTCTTATTCTTGAAGTTTGGGGTGACAAAGAAGAGGTAGACCTCAGTGGCATCGATAGATTGTGTCAGCTGAGGTACATGCGGATTACGTCTAACATCAATGTGAGACTACCAGCCAGGATGATTGGACTGCCATATTTGCAAACAATGGAAATTTATGCAAGAGTAACTTCTATTCCATCAGATATTATCCATCTCCCCAGATTGCTGCACCTCTGTGTACATGGTGAGATAAATCTGTCCTATGGTATTGGTCACACGAGATCTCTGCGCACACTTCAGTCTTTCGACCTCAGCAGTAACTCTGCAGATAGTATATGGCAACTTGGTGAGATGAAGGACCTGCGTGATCTTCATGTCACCAGTGCTACAGAAATGTCTGACCCTCTGAAGAAGTTGATAGCTTTCCTTTTTTCCTTTGGGAAACTTGGCAATCTAAAATCTATAATTCTTGCTCCTGCTCCTGCTGCTTCATGCACAAACATTTACTTGGATTGCTCATGGAGCACATCTCCTCTGTCCATCTTCATTCAGAGACTTGAGTTGTTGCCGCCCTTTTGCATCTTTTCAAGACTCCCTGTATGGATTGGACAGCTCCGGAAGCTATGCATTTTGAAAATTGTTCTTAGGGAATTGACGACTGGTGATGTTGACAGCATCGCCCAATTACAGGAACTCACCATTCTCTCTCTGTATGTCAGGCAACCAACCGCAGAACAGATTGTCTTCCATCGTGCAGCATTTCCTGTTCTTAAGTTTTTCAAATTCAGATGTGGCATTATGCGCATTGCTTTTCAGCCAGAAGCAATGCCTTGGCTTCGGAGTCTGAATCTTGAATTCAATGCCCACAGTGGAGAGCAAAATGGTAATATGCTTGCCAGCATTGAACACCTGTTAAACCTCCAAGAGATCACTGGCCGAATTGGGGCAGCACCGGGTGCAGAGGAATCCGACAAAATAGCTGTGGAATCTGTGTTCAAGGATGCCATTAGCAAGCATTCAAGACTTACAAACTTCAACCTACGAATTGTGGGTTTGTTTGACGAAGAGTACGTGCCTTCCTTCTCCCTGTAATATCACTGAAACGTTATAATAAACTGTTGCTAGCTACTTGATCATGTCCCGGGCTGGTGTGTTTCCCTTAGCCTAAAGCAGTTTCCAAACTAGCTGAAGAAATTTCAAATGAGATTGCTATACTTTCAGATTGTAGACTTTCTGTTGAGAGTTAATAACATCAAAATAAGAGGACTGCCGAGGTTCAATACTTTATTTACTTGATCAAGTTTAATCTATGGGTTTAATCATGGTGCCAGTTCCACCTATTTGACGATGTGCATGCAGTTAAGATTTCTGGCGTGAAACAATTTTTATACAAGATCTGATAATGACTTGTCCTGCTTTTTTTTTTCCTCAACACAAATAAGTTGCCTTAGGTGAAAAACTGTATGAAAGAATCTTTTTTGCAGAAGATAAATACTCCTGCTAGAGTACGTTAGGGGCCTATTGGTCCTAGGTTGATTGTATAGCCTATTAGTGTTAGGGTTAATTAGAGATAAGGGTCGCTTACTTAAGGGTCAAGTAAGTCTTGCTTGGGAGTTAAGTAAACCTCTCTATATAAGAAGAGGAGATGTATCGATCTAATCAAGCAAGAATTAAGAAGGAAATCCCTTCCCTCTTGCTCGGCCGTGGGCAAGGCCCCCGGCCGGCCTCCAGTCTCCCTCGCAGCCCAGCCGCACTGTAGCACCATGGGTACTGTAGCCCGCCGTCGCCGCCTCTCCCTCAGCTCTCTCCCTCTCGATCCTTTCATTTGATGTTTACTTTTTTTCCTCTTATAATCTTAAAGTAGCCGATCAGCAAACATGATTGCAGGAGTAAACCTATTTGCTATTTTTTTTTGTTATTATAGAGTTCTAGTTGGTATGGCTGAAATTTCTATTGATTCTAATTCTAGTTCTAGTTCTAGTTCTAGTTCAAGTTACTATCAGTTCTAATTTTCATGACTAAAGATAGACGTGATATGCAAATGTAATGCATCTAAAATAATACCCACTACCAAATAAGAACACTACCATGAAACATAATATTAGGGGGTATTTAGTTACCCTAAATTCCAAACTTTGACACTATGCAAAAAGAAGATTCCCCGTCACATCAAACTTACGGTACATGCATGGAGTACTAAATGTTGACGAAATCAAAAACTAATTGCACAGTTTGGTTGTACTTTGCGAGACGAACGTTTTGAGCCTAATTAGTCAACGTTTGGATAATTATTACCAAATACAAACGAAATGCTACAGTAGCTATGTGGCTACAGTAACTTTGCCGGTGCCGAATTCGGGCCGAACTAAACGAGGGCTTAATGTATATTGGGTATATGTTATACAATCTCTGCAGGTGGCATAAAAAAAGTGAGCTGGACAAGGTAGCTACAGTGTTGAAGCGTGGCAATTCAAAACACCTAATCACTTCAGCACGCCGTTCCAGGCGATCTCGGATACGGTTAGGCCCCACGACGACTACGGCTACAACTGGCGCAAGTACGGCCAGAAGCAGGCGAAGGGGAACGAGTACTCGAGCTAGGCCTTGCTTAGATAGCCTCAAAATTCTAAGTTTTTTTACTCTCTCTCTATCACATTAATTTTTAGCTGTTTGTATGGAGTATTAAATATAGGTAAAAAAAATAATTAATTGCACAGTTTAGTTGGAAATCACGAGATGAATCTTTTGAACTTAGTTGGTCCCTATTTACTAAATAAGACGAAAGTGCTACTATTCATCGGGTTGAAATTTTTTTCAATCTAAATAAGGCCCTACTACTACAAGTGCACCTTCCCCAGCTGCCTTGTCAGTAAGAGGGTAGTCAGGTCGCAGGACGGCCAGATCATCGAGATTGTCTACAGGGGCCTGCACAACCACGTGAGGACGCAGAAGGCGCCGCAGCTGCTGCAGAGCGCCGACGCGTCCGAGCACTCGTTGGGCGGAATGTCGGGCACGCCCGTCGCGACGGCCGAGGGTCTCTTGGCGTGGATTGCGGACGATGATGTCGGTGTAGGCTTGCCGCGGGCCGAGAATGCTGGCGGCGATGAGTTCGACAAAGACCAGCCGGATTCCAAGAGGTGAGAGTGCTTTGGTAGTTTGTTCACACAATATCCGTGCCAATTTTTTTCTGACTTTTTGTTGCATTCTTGGAACGAACAAGCGGAAGTCAATTCCTGTTGCTTTTGTCAGGAGGAAAGACGGTGACGGTGAGGGGATCTCCATGTCCGGCAACCGGCAATTGTGAGAGCTGTCACATGAACTGGTAATTGTGCTAGGCTGCTAGCATCTCTCTGTGGTATTTTTGGCGCATAATTGGGTGACGATGATTGAACACATGATGATGATAATAGATCTGCCGCTGCTGCTGCTTGATAGGTTCTTGGATTTCCTTTATCCGGATATATGATTGCATAGAACGAATCTGGAAATGCGAATAGAACCAACTTTAATTAGTTTCGTGTCTCTCTCTTGATGTTGCTCCTGAAATCTGAACCATGCCTTTCTCTCTTGCCAAATCCGATCTGCCTTTTCTTAGCCCCGGCAAAGGTGGTGGTGGCAATTGGCATGCCGATGTTCTTTTGTTTCTTGAAAGACTTGAGAAGAGTGATTGTTGTAGGGAACGCCTATTGAAAGCGTGAACTTTGTACTCATCGTGATTGTTGTCTTGTGACTACAGGAGCTACTACAAGTGTACGACGGCAGGGTGCCCGGTCCCGCAAGCATGTGCAGCGCGCGTCCGACGACCTGCGCACCGTGATCACCACGTACGATGGCCAGCACAACGACGACGTGCCCACCGTGCGTGGCAGCGCCGCACTCTACCATCCCGCAGCACCGCCTGCGGACAGCGGACAGCTGCCGGTCAAAACCTTGCCGTGGCCAGCGCCACGCGGCCGACCATGGTCGACCGAACGGCGCAAAAGTGCATGTTCAGTGGCCAGGGCTCGTTCGGCCTCGGCGGCGCGCTGGCGCAGAGCAGTGCCACGAGTGGCAGCTTCGTCCCCTCGTCGTTCTTGGACAACACGATGGGTTCGTACATGAGCCAGCAGCAGGAGAGGCAGAACGCTGCGCCCAGAGAGGACATGTTTTCTCCGCAGTCGACGGACTGATGGACTCCAGACATTTCACAAAAATGTACATGACGGTAGACATCTTAATCCTTGCTTAATTCGGAACAAGTATTTAGAGTGTCGACATCTGTCACGATCCCGGGATAGCTAGAGGGTCGCGGCCGAGGGCGGCGGCGGCGGGGGTAGCTGCTGTTGGTGTGGCGGCGGTGGAGGTGACAGGCTGGGGCTGCGGTGGGGCACATAGGGCCCGGACGAGGAAGGCCACGATGCCCGCCACGGCCTGCCCTAATTCTAGGATTGTGGCCGTTATCGGCTCCGGGTGAGGACGAGGCGGACGGCTGCTTGGGTAGAAGGCTTAATCGCCCCCGAGGATGCTAAGCGCACCCAATGTCGGTAGCGCTTCTTGTGTAAAGCAGCGCCGACAAAACGCCTGATGGCGGACAGGTGGTAAAGTGTCTTGATGGCGGCGGGTGGGAACAACTTCGATAGAGGGTGGACATGATCGAACCGAGATCTCGATATGCATTGTTATGTGGGGGCTATGGTATCCCGTGGTGCTACAGTGAATCGGGTATTGTTCACAGCCACAAATGTGGCGGCCGGGCTGCGAGGAGGAATTTGGAGGCGGCGGGGGGCCTTGCCCACGGCCGAGCAAGAGGAAATGATTTCCTTCTTAATTCTTTCTTGATTAGGTCGATACATCTCCTCTCCTTATATAGAGAGGTTTACTTGACTTCCAAGCAAGGCTTATTTGACCCTTAAGTAAGCGACCCTTATCTCTAATTAACCTCGATACTAATGGGCTATACTGACCAACCTGGACCAATAGGCCCCCGACGTACTCTAACAAGTTTTGCCGGCAAACACACGACGGCGAAGAGCACGCAATGGCGCCGTCTCGAGAGAGAGAGAGGAGCACGGGAGAACAAGAGGAATAGGATAGTTTTCGTATTGTTCGCTGGCCTTCCAACCACCCACACAGCGAGTATCAAATATCATGATAACGGGCTCAGCCCAATACATCCTTGCGGCACACCGGCCGACTTACAGGCCCACGGTGACACCCAAGTAGAGTAGTGTTCGTCACAACATCTTATTTTTTTAAGTGGCTAGCTATTAACTAATAAAGTAGAGTCCAAACTATGTCAAGCGTGTCTAGAAGACATGAGATGCTTTGTAAAGACAGTGACCTGCGTATCTACGTCCCTTAGAGACATTTTAAATTACGTGTCAAGCAATGATGGTACACTTTGTGTTTTCTGTTTTATTTATTTTATTGCTAATAGTTACGTGAAACTGTCTTTAATACACATGTAATCACATTCACTTTGGGAACCACAATATAGAGAACATAAAAACACATGAAATATATTCCATTAATATTTGAGCAAACAGAGTCACCAATCTAAGTCAATCATGCATATACATCATGTTAATCTTACATATCCCCTTGATTCTTATACATTGGACTCTATTTAAGAAGCTCATGCCGATACTTGCTCTTCAATTCTCAATCGTTGCTTCTTCGTTCAGCAGATACTTTGACATGCTTCCAGGATCCTGCACATTAAATAAATAAATTCAAAGGATATAAGATCTGAAATTCAGAAAACCACACAAATTCCCGTGATGAATTTAGAAAAAATATTAACTTAGAAGGTTATTTTTTTCAATGATTGTGGTACCATAAAAAATTCATATTCACCAGCATCTGAATGCGAATAAAATCCTTATATTAGTTACTAACTACTCTAGGATCAAATGACAAGAAAGAATGCTCCATGCCTACACTTAAAAACCTATAATTAGAACACTACATGCCTACACTTAAAAAGCAAATGTACATTCGTATTGCTATCTGCAAAACATACAATGCAGGCATACCAAAGTAGTCCAGCCACACATAGGGGCTGTTCGGGTTGGCTGGCTGGGTTGGGCAGTCCACTCACGAATCACTGTTCACGTGAGCAGTGATTTCAGCCGGTGAAATGATGATTTCCTCTTACAACAATCAGTTGGAACAGTATTTTGGCTTATTTTTCAGTCCTGCCGAACAGGTCCATAATAGCTTAAGTACGGAAAGACAATATATATTAGTAGTAGAAAGGCATACATAAGTATATGTAAGTTGACTGACTCACTTACCCATTAATAAAAAAATTATCTTCAGAAACTGATGTAGCTCGTAATCAAAACAGCGGAGCTCCCATCATATCTAGGGAAATTCAGTTCGATGAGACCAAAGTGGTTCTGTAGACATCTTCAGCCATCACTAGGCCAAGGTAAATTTACTGTATTACTTACTCAGCTTCACAATTGCAAACCAAACATGTGTAGGCCCTGGTTTACCATTTGATCGAAACAGAAATCATATAAAAACTTGATCTGAGTAAGTACAAAGCGCTTACCTGGGATTGGGGTTGAACTCAACAGACTAGTGAAAATCCAATTGATACAATTTGCAATGTGAATAAGCACCCATGTGATTATTTAAGGAAATCCTCACGCTGGAAAAAAAAACATACAGCATCTGTTATCTTTCCATCTGCATTTACCATAAGCCACTGCAAATTATTACCAATATTAAAAAAAACTAGTGAAATTAGAAGTAATGTACCAGATCAGTACTAAGTACTCGTAGATAGCACGGTGGGTATTATAATCAAATTCTTGGGCGGCACAGTGGATTTAATTAACTTCTTGAAAAAATATCACTGTCGATTATAATTGAAAGTTCCAGTAGAATTCAAACATATGTTTATATAGCAGGGTAAAATAATCAAGCTTAAATAAATAAAAGACAGATAAGTAAGAATGTATACATACGGAACTGCATCTTTTATTAATAGGAGTTTGATTGTCTTGCACTGAAGGAGTCTGTTGTACTCTGTAACAGAAATGAACATATGAGCATCAATTGCTTTGGTTATAATGTCATTGAAACACATGGAAGGAGCAAAAAATAAATCAATTGCTTATGCTATCACGAATGCATGAGTACAGGCACATATATATATATTTCGCGGGTAATTCTGCCGAGAGGACAGGAAAGATGAAACATGCTTGCATGAGTACAGGCACATAAATACGTTGCTGGTAGTTCTGCCGAGCGGACAGGAAAGATGAAACATGTGTTTATGTCGATGAGGAGCAGAGAAGATATTACCAAATCAAAGTGGCAAGCCGGCCGGTAAGGAACAGAAGGGCATCACAGGTCCACTCCTTCAGATCCAGAAGATTCGACTATGGGGAATCAGCACCAAAGAGTTTCTTCAGATCTGGAAGCCGCCCAACCCACCCACTGCATCTCTGATCTTGGAAGAACCCGCATGAAGATCGAATGTTCCAGAGCCCAGAGGAGGGCTGCGCTGCCAGGAACGAACAAGGAGGCTAGTGGTGACCTGGGAGGGACATCTAATTATTTGCCACTCTTACGGAGGCCGTCTCTCTGATTGCCAACTTTGTGGTGGCAACTACAAAAATATTCCAGAAAATAGTAACTCACCTAATATTTTGCTATTTTTGTTGACGTGGCATGCCAGATCAGCCAGCCAGCTTGGAAACGGGCCTTTGACGCTCGAAGACCGAAGGCAAAAGACCATTCTGCCCCCGCCGTGTATTGCTTAACAAGCGCCGTCTCCTCCCATCTGCTCAGTCCCAACGGTTCTCTCTGCACTTCTTCTTCTTCCTTCGTCTCCCCGTCCTTGGTCGCCGCCGCCCCTCCATTGCCCTCCCCAACCCTAGCCACCATGTCCCGTCGAGCGAGCTCATCAATGCGCAATAGGCGTTCGCAGCTGTTGGATAGGATAGAGGAGTACCCACTCGGGAGGCAGACAGGGCTCCCCCTCATCATGTGCGAGGAGTGTGGGCTGCAGAGGGTGCTCGAGCTTGTGGCCCAGACAGATGAGAAAGGCAACAAGGGCCGTGTCTTCTTCAAATGTCCTAGGAACATGCAAGGGGTAAGCCACATTCTTTGGGTTCCAATTTGTTAGGGTTTTGAATCGATTGTCACATCAAATATGTTTCCATGTGTTTAGGTTCCAGGATCTTGTAGGTTTTTTGAGTGGCAGCGAGAGTACCTGGCCATATTGGTGGACCAGGGGAAGATTGTGATGAATCTAGAACAACATGGCGTAGTAGAGGAAGAAGCTGATTCAAGGGCACTGGTGCGTGTGCAGAAGAACTCAATGGAGGTGAAGCTGGATGCTTTGGTTGGCGCAGTGAAGGCTTTGAGCTTGGTCATGGGTGCTGGTGTAATGGTTGGAGCTATGTATGTGATGTAGTAGTTCTCTGTTAGTTTCACTAGTTGTTAGTTCCCTTGTTTGTTAGTTGAACTACTTCAAGCTGTATCTTAGTTGAGTAATGAGCTCTGTGTTTCAGTATGAGTCTAACCAATCAGTTGGCATATATGTGTGAAAATGTTGAATGGTTAATGGAATATTGTTTCTGTTATTCCACTTGTACATGATATCCAAAAATCATCATTGCAAGACCACTGATATGCTCTTGACAACCATAGCAAGTTCAGTCTGCATACATAACAAGTTCAGTCTGCATACATGACACAACCCTAGCAAAGTCATCACAAGTTGTTCAGGCCTATAAGGCAATACATTATAAGTTGTCCATTCAACTTACAATACCATAACAAGTTGTTCATGCACCTTTCAATGACATAACAAAGTTCCCAAAATATGGATCGCAAGGATTCATTGCTTCATTAGTTTCACCTTTGTGGCTAGCTGCTTCCTCCTAGGGGTCATCTTCTTGGCTGGTGCGGGGTTTGGCAGAGATTCACCTACGGAATGATCATTTCAAGGGGTTGTGGAGCTTCCAAGTTCAACCTCCTGTATTTGAAAGTGGTTTAGTGAGCTGTTGTCGAGATGGCAAGTTCCTAAGTCACAATTTAGGTTCAGATTTTACCTTCTTTGTTCTCTTGCTTGCTTCTCTGCCTCTCTTTCCTTGCATCTGCTTCCTTGTTCTTAGAGTCCTTGGTGATGGTCTTTGCTCTTTCTTTGGTGGGTGGTGAAGGCTCAGTCTTCGCTGCTATAGTTTCACTAGTGGAGCAGGTTCATACTCCTTGTCAACACCCTTCTTTGGCCCCTTTTTGTCTTTTGTCTTTCTTGTCCTCTTCTGTAATTTCATTAAGTTAGTTAACAATGGTGAAAGGATTTCACAAAGGTAGGTTAGTAAGTTACTTTTTTTTTTGGTGCCACTTAGTGGGCACCTCAATTTGGTCCTTCTATGGCCTAATTCACCACAGCCCTTGCAAGTAACCTGCCTTGTGGCTTTGCCACTTCTCTCTAGGCATCCCTTAACTCTCTTCTTCCTTTGCCTCCCAAGTCCTCTTTTCTTCCCAATTGGTGGAAGAAGCTTGAATCCTTCTCAACTCCCGGCCCTTTGGCTCTTATCAGTGATGACAGGAATCATTCCTGCATATGCTGCTTGGAACTTGTGCACTGAGTAGGCCACATCCACATATTGCTCCATATTTGGCTGCCTTTCAGTTGTTATGACTGCCAGTGCATGGGGACAGGGCTTGCCACTCACTTGCCACTCTCTGCATGTACACTCATGTTGGTCCAGGTAGACAACATGCCTCTTGACAACTTCATCATTGTACATGACTATCACCTCTGCTTGGTTGGGTCCACCCTTAGTTGCCTTCAGATGGTTCAGTCCCTTTGAGGCTACATTTAGCTGATGAATTATTGCTGGTAGTATGAATCCTTTTAGGGCCTTGGATATCTTCCTTCTCTTCTCAAAAAGTACCATTGTCTTGTGCCTGATAGCATCAGCTAGAATGTCTAATGGTAGATCTTTGTGTGCTTAGATCCATGCATTCCAAGATTCAACCAAATTGTTATTTATGAAGTCACACTTGATCTCTTCCTAGAATCCACTCCTGGCCCACAGTAAACTGTGATGTTCCTTCAACCATGGAACAACTCCTGGATAGGCTTCAATAACTTTGTCCATCAATTTATTGAACTTCTCTACTGTGCATGTCCTTGCTGTTGGCCATATGTACTTGGCATAGGCATTTCCTGTAAACCTTTTCTTCATATTTTCCATGAGATGCCTGAAACACTCTCTCTGCTCTGCTCCAGGGAAAACCTTTTTCACAGCTGCTTCTAGCCCTTTGCAGGCATCAGTGCATATAGCCAAGTGGTTCATTGGCCCTAAAGCTTTCCCCAACTGTTCCATGAACCAAGTCCAATTATCCTTGGCCTCTGAATCAAAGAAGCCAAAAGCAATTGGGTACAACCAATTGTGGCCATCTATTGCATTGGTTTGCAGCATGTGGCCATTCCACTCACCATTGAGAGCAGTTGAATCTACACTAATATAGGGTCTGGAGCCATCTCTAAATCTATCTATACTTGCTTTGAAGGCACAAAAAAATCTACTGAAGTGTACCTTGCCTTCCACAGTAACTGTATCTATCTCAACTACACTACCAGGAGACCTAAGCTCAATCTCAGCCTTGAATCTAAACAAATAATCAAAACAATCATCCCACTTACCAAATAATTTATCTGCAGCCCTCTGTCTCCTATAAAATACAGTCTGATATGGAATCTTTATGTTGTACTTCTTCTCTAACTCTTCCTTCACAGCTTTGGGACCCATCTTAGGATTATCCTTCAATAGTGGTATAGCCCTCTCAGCAATCCACTTCTGGGATGCCATCCTCCCAAGAACTCTACTCTTTGAAGGACACTTGTGGGTACCCTTATTGATTTGGATCTGCACATACATGAAGAAATGCCAGAAATAGTTAAGATAAATTCATATACAACATGCAAATATCATAAATAAGGTTACATCAAAAAGACAAAAAAGTGTTAGTATTGGTACCACGACCGCCATCCTTCTCGTGTCCTAGCTCTAATTTTCCATGGGATGACCCTTGAACCTGTAGTAGCCCCTAAACCTCTCCTTGTCGACTTCTCTATCCCCAATTGAAACTCATTCACAATAGCATGCCTGCTTTAATTGCCATCCTAAAATCATCCATGCAAGGATACAAAGTGTCCCAACACTCATGTCGTGGTTGTCTCTATCCCAACCAAACATTGGCTCATCTCCTAGGTCATCATTAATGAGGATTGTTGCCCTCATTCATTTCATCCTCCACATGGCAGGTATGTTAGGAATAGGAACCTCATCTGTAGGAGCCTCATCTGCGCCTTGAATCCAAAAGCCTCATAGATTTGATCCTCATCTACCACAAAGATTAGCTTCACCATCACAGTTCTCATCACCAATATAGTCAATGTGTTCCAATCAACCACATTTTCTTGACTCTACCTTCTTGAGGAGTACTACAAGTGTCACCTAAGCCTTCTCAGCATTCTCTTGCATGTCCTGCATTTGTCACACCAGATTAGTAAAGCAGTAGTAGAAGACCCACCTTTGTTTGCTCTCGCTAACAACATCATTCGCACTCAACTGCATCTTTCTCAACAACATCACAGCTAACATGCATTACCTTCTCATCCATCCTAGACATTATCATCTCCTCAAACTGATCACTGCTAGTAACCTTCCACTATGTTCCACTGTCAATGTCAACACCCCAAATAAGCGATTCTTGTCGATCATGGCCCCAAATGATCTTTTGCTGGCCATATCATCTACAAAGCCATTCAAATTGTGTACACATTGCTCTTTGTCAAACCACAAAGTTATGTTCTTGAGCATCTAGGTCAACCACTCCATAGTCGTTAACCAAAGTGTATTTATCAACGCTAACATGGATTCTAAAAGCATTGCCAGGATCAATCCTGACAGTGACAAGCAAAACAAACAAATTGGGAGTTAGGACATCCCTCACATACGGGATCCCCTCACATACATGCCATAACAATGAAACATACCACGGGGGGCACGGAGACAACACCATCGTGGCTAATGGTTTGCTCTACATCCGAATCCTACATCAACACACTAAAATTAGGAAACCCTAGCATCAGGAATCCCCCCATTCACAGATGCCGCGCGTAGGTAGAAGAAGGAAGTAGATCTAACCTTGCAAAGGTCGTGTTGATCCTGCGACTTGGCGCCGTAAATCGAGCTCCCTTTGCCCGCCTCTCGAGCTCACGCCGCCACGGGAATGAAAGGGAGGGACGGGAAAATAGCGAGTGGGTGAGTAGATGGGAGGAGACGACGCTTGTTAAGCAATACACGGCGGGGCAGAATGGTCTTTTGCCTTCGGTCTCGAGCGTCAACGGCCGTTCCCAAAATTTGGTGGCTGATCTGGCATGCCACGTCAGCAAAAAATGGCAAAATATTAGGCGAGTTACTATTTTCTAGGATATTTTATAGTTGCCACCACAAAGTTGGCAATCGAGAGGCGGCCTCTGTAAGAGTGGCAAATAATTAGATGTCCCGACACGGGAGGCCGGAGAGCGAAAACCTAAACAGAGGGAATACAAAGGGACCAAGGAGGAGACGGCAAAGCGCCTATGAGGGGAATCAAGAAGAAAGCGCTACCATGCGGAATTGGAAGTAGTGGGGGTCGGTCTCACTCTTTGCCTATCGTGTAGAATTGAGACGTTTTCTAGAAAATGTGTCAACAAAGCGTATACCTAAGGTCCACTACTAAGCATAGATACGTTTTATAAAGGAGGTTTTATTGTGCTATTATAAAAGTTGGTAATTACATACGGACTACTAAAGTTGAGTTCTCACGGTGCGCGCTCATTCAACTCTTCGCTCTTTATGTCACTCCGTCGATTTAGCCCTATCGGTGTCAAATATATGCGTGTGAAAATCAAAAATACCCTCTTCCAGTTCGAATACATAATTAATTTTTTGAGCATGTTAATGACCTCAAATGAAAAAACTCAAAATTAGAAAGTTGTAGATCTCGACAATATCTATAATTTTTTGTAAAAAATATCTTTCATTTAATTTCAGTATAAAAATGATTTGATATGATTAATATGTCTCGAGAAAAATCATATTTTTATACATAATTAAATGAAAATAATTTTTATATAAATATTGTAGATCTCGATGAGATCTATAACTTTCTAGTTTTTGAGTTTTTTCATTTGAGATTGTTAAGATGCTCAAAAAATTAATTACATATTCAAACCTAAGGGTATTTTTGACTTTTTATGCTGCGTAGTTTGACATCGTTAGTGCTAAATCTGATGAAAGTGAAGTGTAGGGCAAAAGAGTTCAGAAAAGGGCACATATGAGAACTCAATTTTTAATGACTTATAAGTAATTACTAACTTTTATAATGACACACAGGTAAAAGGCCCTTATAAAGCGTTATAAAGAGAACGTATTTAGAGGAGGTTTTTCTTGTAGTGATGTACTCGTGCTGAGGATATAAGTTAGCAAATCAAACATAGTAGAGATGTAATGCACGTGGTTGAGATGGAATCCGAATTGGTCTCAAACTTGCTTATCAACCAACGTGGTTTGTTTCCATAATTGTGCCATGTCCAAGCCTATATAAACAGCCCTTGGTCTAGGGGTCAGGAGTGTTAGCATAGATCCATTGCACATCTCTGTAGATACGTTCTAGCGTGTGTTGAGTGTCGAGTCACTAGCTGGTAGATCGAGTCATGTGTGAGCCAGAGTCGTGCGTGGTTCACGGCGTGGCCAGGTGCTGTGTTCGCTCAGCGCCACAGAGCCCATGGCGGGCACGTCGCGCGGCGTCGCGGGAAAGTAGCGCGTCGCGCACCGTGGGCGGCGTGGCGTGAGGTCTCGGTTGCTCAGCGATCATGTAAGTCTAGTGAGGCCTAGTTTAGATATTATCGGATTTACCTCAATCTACGTGTGTTGTCGTGGATTGGGGTGAAATTTAGTTTGAGTTTTAATCAAATCCAACCCAACACATGTAGATTGATACGAATCTGATTATATCCGAACAAGGTCTAAAAGAAATAGAAACACCGAAAACGCTGCAACGTTGGCAGCACCAAAATTCCAATCTTTCGCGCGTGTGTGTGATCGGCGTTCTCGCCTCGCCAGTGACAACGTCGCGTTCAAGCCGGAGCACCGCCCGGTTTCAGCTAGAGCTCGCGCACTGACGCGGTCACGCCCTGCTGCATCACATCACGCAACGCATAGGGAGGCAGAGCTCCGGTTAGTTGCCGCACGCTGGTGCAATCTCGTCGGGACACCGTTGCTGCGTCATCCTCGCATGAGCTCAAGGAGTCGCTGCCGCTACAATGTACCCTGTTTTAAAGGGACCGCATGGTTCATAAATTTTCCCATCACTACTACGCTCCACGATTTGTAGGGGCGGCTGAGAAGGGTGTGTAGGGAGGCGGTTTTGTCATCGCCCTACGTAACCGTGTCTATAAATCATGTATTTATAGGGTGACAAATCTTATTTTGTAGAGACGGCTGATCTTACCAGCCACCCCTATAAATTATTTTGTAGAGGCAGCTGGTTCTCCAAATAAGATTTGTAGGGGCGACTTGTAACATCAGCCGCCCTTATAATTATTTTTTTAGGGGCGGTTGAATTTACGGCCACCCCTACAGTCCGTTTCCCGCAAAAAAGAATTCAAAATTCAAACGTGACCAGATCATATATATATATATATATATATATAATTCAAAATAGTATATTCACAAGTCCATCAAACCATTATATATATTCACATTGACCAACAACATAATGCATATAAGTCATCATTGCATACACATAATAACATTAAGAAATCCAATCACATTCACAAGTCCGATCACATCATATACACATGTCCGATAACATTCAGAAGTTCCGATCACATTACATTCAC